AGACCACTAACAATTGCTCCAAGTACACTTGGCAGTAGTTGCCCAGTGGAAGAAGAAAGAAACCGTCAATAAGATTGTCCTTGAGGAACAGCAATGGTCCATGAGTCTGGAGAAGAGGAGGCTGAGGGGAGACCTGATCGCTCTCTACAACGACCTGAAAGGAGGGGGTAGCCAGGTGGGGGTTGGTCTCTTCTCCCCGGTAACTAGCGATAGGACAAGAGGAAACGGTCTCAAGTTGCACCAGGGGAGGTTCAGGAAGGATATTAGGAAGAACTTCTTCACTGTTAAGAGTCCTTAGGCATTGGAACGGGCTCCCCAGGGAGGTGGTGGAGTCACCATCCCTGGAGGTGTTCAAAAAACATTTAGATGTGGCGCTTCGAGACATGGTTTAGTGGGTTTAGCGGGCATGGTGGCATTGGGTATACAGTTGGACTTGATGATCTTTGAAGTCTCTTCCAACCATAATGATTCTATGAGTCACCTCTGATCAGGTTTTTTTTTGAATCTCAGAATGATTTGGATTGGAAGGGACCTTAAAGACCATCCGGTTCCAGTCCCCCCTGCCACGGGCAGGGACACTTTCCACCAGACCAGGTTGCTCAAAGCCCCATCCAACCTGGCCTTGAACACTTCCAGGGATGGGGCAGCCACGGCTGAGATGGATGATCAGGAGTGTGGTAAAAGACGAACACAGGGAACTGTTTTTCACAGGTAGAGAGCGTACAGACTTGCATTGCTTTCCTGTTGGAAAAGCTTCTCTTGAGATCATTCTTCTTAAACAATTTTGCCCTAGTACATAATCTTCTCGGCGCCTTACTTCTGAGCTTAGCAAAGTCCAGACTGTATGCTTACCTGTGTGTTCATAAGCAGAAATACCCTGTGGCAAATACTTTGAATGTCAAAAGGCTTTTAACATGAGAGCAAAGGCTTTACTCTCAACTGTTAGATAGGTTTTGTTCCCAGCGTACTTAGCATGATGGTGTTAAATGGAGTGTGCGAGGAGGGGGTTTGATATTGGCCGCCAAGGCAAGTATTCGGATGGTGATACTATGTGGGATGTGCATTAACTTCGGTTCCTCTTGTGCCTTAGAATTGCTACTAAAGAGTCGCTTGACTGATATTTCTTCATTTTTAAGTAGAGTGCTTTATGCAGAAATAATATGTGTAATTATGGTCACATAACTCAGGCATTCAAACGCAATTTCAGACATGCTTCCCCGTTTCCAGAGAACGATCATCTTGCATTTTGCCACCGGGCAGGTCCAGTGCAACTGTTTGGTTTAATGCATGGAGAGTGGTTTGGCTTCTCCCCAGTTGAGGAGCTTCAAGGTCTTGCTTTTGATTGTATTTACAGAGGCGACGTCAAAGAATTTTCAAAAGCCTGAAATTTTCTTGGTAGCTGACTGTGAGAAGTAATGGTGACAAGTGAAGTAACACCGTTGTGGGTGCTACCCTGCCGGCAAGCTAATGGTGCATACTCCTTCCCTAGAAGATACGGTGGTGGAGCTGAGCTGGCATGGAAGTGCTCTGTAGATGCAGTGCGTTGCGAGTTGGTAGCTGAGATGAAGGAAGCCATTAAAGAATAGTTTTTCTTTGTGTTGACTCATGGGTAGATCTGTTATACTCAGATTATTTGCATTAACTGAGAATTTATTTGCTTTTGTAATGCATTTAACTTTGAATGATTTTTTTTTTTTAGGCTTGCTCTATGTTTGTGGGCATCACTTTACAGCTCTTGCTTTGCAATCTTGCTGGCCAAACTGTTGTTCCTTCTCCTGGTAAGGTACCACAGCCCTTCTGCAAGCCGGGCAGGCCTGGGCTGGTTGGAGAGGTTGGTCCACAGAGGCGATGCTGAGCGTGTCTGTCTGCAGGGAGAAGCTGGGAAGCCACCTCTTGTCCTCAGCAGCTTTACAGTACGTGCCAGACGGCAGATAGAGATGCATAGGGTTTGCCATAGGGTGATAGCATGAGCTGGACACATTGGTCCAAAGTGGCCACCTTTCTTTCCATGGCAGGGTGTGCTTTCCTAGCTGGCTCTTAGTAAGGCTGTTTGTCAGCCATCTGCACCAGCAATTTGACCTGACGTGTATTTTGCTGTTTGCTAGGGGAGCCTGGTTAAAATTAGAGAAAAAAGTGAACTCTAAAGAGCTCAGTAAAATGATGAATTATGAATATTGGGTGAAACCCTGCATATTTGGCTTTCGGACTCTTGAAGCTCTGCCAGGCATGCTGATGCTTTCAGCTTGGCTGCAATTCTCTGAACTTTATTGTGGATAAAAAACATGTGAGAAATCTCTGAATGACGAGCTGAAGATAAATGTAAAAATGTGTGAACTCTGAATTTGTTTCTCTCTTTCTAGCTGTAGGCTAAATCTTTTGATGAGCTTAAATTAAATTCTTTAAGGATGCCCATTCAGTCAGTTGGCAGGATACTCTGTGGGTTACTTGGAATTGTTGGCAGCTGTCTGAAGTTTTTTTTTGCTTTTCTCATTAAAATTAATGGCAGATCTTCTGTGCGTTAAGACAACTTTGAAGATTTAGTCAATGTTTCCAGAGGCAGGAGTAGTAGTTGTTTCTAAAGCTAGATGCATAAATGCAATATATTCACTACTGCACTTGGATTATGAAACGTTTTGATTTCTTTGGTTTTGCCTTCTTGGCTTAATGTTTCCTTACACTTTTGGCTTTTTTTCTTTTGTGAAACTTGTAATATGGTTTATAGAGAAGCGCAGTGTTCTCACCACCAGCTCATGGCGGTTACAATTGGAGAGGGATTTTTAGGACAGGAAGCTAATCGCCGTAACATACTCATGTAACGGTGGCCAAATACTCAGCTTTGAGGTCTCTCGAAGGCAGCTGCAGTTCCTTTGCCCTCCTTTCTGCTACCCACCCACGCAGGCGGTGTGGTGGGAGGCCAGGCGTGCGGTGGGCTCGATGCCCATCCACACATCCGTCTATATGACTCGGAGAACTGTACACTTGTGTACCTCCTCTAGTTTAGGCTAGGTCCAAGTGAGGATGATGCTTTTCCAAAGCATGAGGAGATGATGTTGAACATGGTAGGAAATGAAGGTGTGAGAGAAATCTCTTTTTTCTTGCTGATAATCATGAGTGAAGTGTCACTGGAGAGACTGGTACTGGATAATAACTAAATCAGTGCTGGAGTGTGTTCTGGTTGACTGTAGTCTGTAGTTATCTCAAGTAGACTACTGTGGCATCGTACACACAAACCACAAAATATACCACACAAAGAAATGCTGTCTTGCAGAGAAACTAGAAATCTTTTTTTTTTTAAGGGATTAAAATTTGATCTTAAAAAAATAGAGAGAACATGTATAATTGCTGAATGAGTCCCTCCAGAGTTTGTGTCTAATCAGATTCTGTAGAATTACACACACTCTTGGATAATGCTGCTTGTGATTTAATCACAAATCCCAACAGAGGATTATATTTGTTGTCATGGTAGCAAGCAATAACTCTTCCACAAACACTGAAGCAACCAAAGAACATGAAGCCCACAAATCCACTTACAGTGTGCTGGAAAACACTGTGCAAGTCCGCTGTTTTGGCAAGCTGTTTTCCTATAGGCATCGGACTTCTGTACAAAATAGAAGTTACCATGTGTCGGTATGCTGCAGCTTTAACATGAGCATCTTGTGTGAATCGAAACCCCTAGGGCTGGAGCAGTGGTGATTGACTGGTAAGCGCTGGTGGATGTGGCTCAAGGCAGCATTGGAAAACAAAATTGAGGAGCACAGCACAAAACCTCTGACAAATTCTAGTTATGGAACTGCAGCCTGAATTTTTAACTACAGGTTGATGTTTGTATTAGATGAGTTGTGGAAGTCTTGGAGGCAGGTTTGAGAGCTTCCCACAAAAGGCACTGCACATCACTGCTGGTCCAGCCAGGGCTTTTCAAAACCAGTACCCTTACGATGCATTTCCACTTACAACATGTGCTTTTACGCGGTAGGCAGCACATCACACTTGGGGGCTGTTTTGTCTTTCACGCTTCCCAGAACAGCGCAAAGCATCCCCTGCCAAATAGATGGTAGGAAATAGATTGTGTCGGTAAGTATTGAAGGGCTACAAGGTCCAGGCAGCTGTGAGGTTGCTATGCTGAGTAGCGCTCTAAAAGTCTTTACAGGAACTTTGATAGCAAATATGTGTGGAGATTAGAAAGTTTGACATGAGGGTGTTCCCGGTTTGGCTGCTTTCAGATAATCTCTTGTTAGGGAAACAATATTCTCCAGTACCGGGGCGCAGCACCGCTATCATTAGTGGCTTGTTGGATGGAGTGTGGGTCACATCCTGGGGCGAGGAGGCAGAGGTCCAGGGCCAAGGTGGAAGAAAAGGGGAAGGAAAGGTGGGAACAAAGCTGAATCACAAAGGGATGGAAACCCCCATGCTGTGCTGAGAGCTGGGGTGCATTAATACCAGGACTGATGCCGTCTGTAACAACCGCGGACTTTCCATGGTTTAAATGAGGCTCTGTCCTGCTAGTCTTAAATAGCTCCAACAAGTGATGGGTGTAAATGGACGTCTTGTTTGTAGAAGGACTCTTTTTTTGGGTTTTTTTGTTTGTGTTTTTTTTATCAGCAGCAGGGACTGTAACTCATGGGATGACAGAGAGATGTTTGTGGGTAACAGCTTGCATGGGGTTGTAATTTTTTTTTGTCTGAAAAGTAATGCGGAGACAAATACAAATTTAGGAATCTTTTTGTGAAATATGCACAATTAGAAATGGAGGAAAAAAATTTTCAAGGGACTTCAATTCTTTATTCAAGATTAAATAAGCCTGCAGCCATCTTCTCCACTATTGTTTACTGCATTCACGGTTATTGATGGTTTTTAAGCTTCTCTAGAGGTAAAGTTCAGTCTGACATTCCCCCCCCCCTTTTTTTTTTTTTCACTTGATGCTTAAAATTATGTGCCAATGTGTTTGTATGTGAACAAAATCTTACCATTTAATTGTTTATTTTGTTTTTCTTATTTACAAGGTGGAATATATGTTAGTAAAATTTGACCATGAGAATAAGAAAGTACGCTTGGTGCTCTGCGGTGAAGAAGTGCTTCAAACACTGCAAGACAAGGGGGAGAAGGTAAACCCCAAGTGAGTACCTGTTTCCTGTTTCTTTTTATTTTTTCTCCTGTTAGTGACACTGTACAGAATTTTGTAGACCTAGCTGAACTTTAAGTCTGCTGTCAGTAAACCTATAAGCCACAGATACTGATATTTTCAGATAAATCTGAGGTGCAGGAATTGAAAGATTTTGAGCACGCTTGCACCTTTTGTGTTATGCCTTGAAAAAAAGAACATAATGAGGAACCCCCAGCAGTTGCAGTTTGAGTATTTGTTTCATCTTGCTCTGGTTTTGCATCTGTGTGTACACAGTAATTGTATACTAGACCTCCCCTGGCCTATAAAGCATATGTGAGTGCACGTGCCCCTGTATCCCTGACGACAGGAGCAAGGGAGGGCTGTATAGGGAAGCTGTTTGTAGGAGTACTCTCCCATTTTTTGACGGAATTAGGAAGGTAGATGCAAGGATGGCAGGGCAGTTTTCCCCATCCTCTCTCATCAAGTTTTCAGGAATAATTAGATTATATCCCTATTTCAGCTAACCAGAGAACTGTGAATTACCTTTTAACTGGTGATAGCAAAGAAATGAGACCAGAAACAGCAAAGTGTTTTGGCTGAAGACCAAAAGCAGGTCACGGTTTACGGGAGGGTAGAGAAACTCTGCTGTAGCCATGAAAGGCTTTTGTGCCCTGGGCCTGTCTGCTTCTTTCTAGGTACCCTAACCTCATCTTCCAGTAAGGCTTCCCTGTCTGTCTTCCTCGTAGAGGGACTATTGAAAGCCTACAAGAAGGAATGCCTTTGCTTTTAGGCTCAAAACTGCTACTGCCAGAAGAAAAGGAGGGGAGATGTGGCTCTGCCTCAGGTAGAATGTGCTCCGTAGAGGTGACATGGCTTCACAAGGGGATGGGAAGGAAGTTTAGGTACACTTAAACTTCATTTCATTTCCTAACCTGATTAATCTGTGAAACAGGACCAGATATTTACAGGCAGTAGAAAGACGAAACTGAGCGTAGCTTTTGCCTTGGCTTGTACTGCGGAAGCAGTTGAGTGTTCTGTATCTTCCAGTTTCAGTTAAAACCCCAAGAAACAAAACTTGAGACAGATGACAGGTGATTGCAATCTGACATGGCCAAATCGTACTTATTACACTATACAGCAACACTTCCTACTGCCAAACTGTGCCTTAATTTCTTTTAGCTGCCTCCTGGTCATGAGGTACATTGGAAGGTATGTTGTGTTACTCTACTGAATAATCAAATTTAGGAGATTTTTCTTGCAAGTTGCATTCATTTCTGAAATTCTCACAAATAATCCATCTTTTGTGAAGTTGCAGAAATAATTAAACGAGGCTATTCTTTTATTATAGCCACCCAACACTCTGGCGACCAGAATATGGAAGCTATATGATTGAGGGGACTCCTGGGCAGCCGTATGGGGGAACCATGTCTGAATTCAACACTGTGCAAGACAACATGAGGAAAAGACGACAAGAGGCCGCTTCGGTGCTCAAAGAAAATGAGGCTGTTTGCACGGTGACGTCATTTCCAAGGTGAGGTGGTTGTTGAAGTATAATGCCATGTTTCCTATTCTCCTTATATGCTTTTTCTCCTTATTGTGTCTAGCTAAACTGTGCAATGAAATAGAGCAAAATCTCATTTGATTAAAGTACTTTGACTTAACGTTCCAGTCATGTTTCCTAAAATTTTTATTGCAGTGAGACAAACAAATAAGGATCTTTTCTATTTTTAGGTGACTGCTAATCTGTGTCAATTTTGTATTAGGAGAGAATACCTCAATGTTCTTGAATTGATATGGCAAATCATACATAAAAGGTTTTTCTTTACCTATTTTGCAAGTTTTGGTCTTTATAAATAGCAGTTTTGTAACAGATGGCTAACCTGATGTATTTTTTAACACTACTTTTTCACTAAAGCACATGCAAACTTCTTTTGGTGGCTTGGAGCACACAGTAGAATAGGAATGTGATTATCCTTACCGAATGAAGACTTAAAACTTCTATAATACTGTACTTATTGAATCTAGAAAGGAGAGCACCTCTCCTAGGTTCGTAATACCCTTACAAAGGGTGGATTTCCTCCTTTTCATTGTAAGAGACTCTTAAGAAATGAAATTCAGTATGTACTTCATTACCTAGGAGAAAATGTACTTCCTGGCCTTCCTTTCAAACATAATTCTAGGCAGGGATTTATTACGTTCATTCTAACTAGCCTGGTCAGTCACATGAATGAAGATAGTTATGATGAAAATAGTAAAAAAATTGCTCTGCAGTAGAAGAGAAGCAGCTGGCTTTGTTGGCTGGTTGCTTGGATGGTACAGAATGCAGTAGCCCTAAATTCTCGCTGAGAGCAGGAACGGTACAAAATGTGACTTAGCAGCGAAGTTCAGGTACCAAAAGGCCTGCATTATGCCCCATGAATGCTACTTTAAGAATGTTCTCTTGTCAAAATATTCTTCCTGTTTATGGGAGCCATACTAGAATCTTTAAAGTAATAGGAGCTTATTTAAAGTCCAATGGTTAAGTAGTTCTCAGTGTGTTACAGAATTGGAGGGGTTTTTTTTGTCCTGCAACCTTAAATGTAGGTTATGTCATTTAATAAATTTTGTATACAAAACATTTCAGACTCAACCTTGCAGGGAATGAACAGAGAGGAGTTCTTCATCACTTTGTAGATGCAGATAAATACTTTTTACATCGCTGTAGGAGCAATACATTGGACTTCAGTGAAAGCCAGTAAATAATAAAGTGTAGTTGGTTTATTACTTGTGGATCATCCCAAACATATTTTCATCCTTCAGAGATTGCTCTCCCTAGGCTATTTGGTTTCTTATTTCTGCCTCTTCCTATCTTGCCATTCAAGTCCCTGTTGGTTTGACTGGAGTCCTGCTAATGAATATTTCTGAGGCTTCATGCATTTGGGTTTCTTTGCTACATTCTCTCTACAATAACATGTACATATGCCTGTGTGCACCTGTGCATATCCATGTGTGTATAATAACTAAAAAATATCTGTGCAGCTGAAAAGACAAAAAAACTTGTTAGAGTGCTGACAGAAGAAAGGTGAAGAAGTAGGCTTATTCAAATTAAAATAACTCACTTAAAAAGAACAAACCTGAAAATGCTTAAATATTAAAAAATACTAAGTTAGAAGCTAAATGAGTGTCCCTAGTTCTTAAATTTCTGAGCTCTCACTACTGGACCAGAAAGCTGTTTTCTTTCTTGAGGACTGGAGTGATGCAGTTTACAAGGTCGCCCTTATGTAAGTGGTAAAGTTGGGTTTACATGTTTAGGACAACTTGTTTACTTAAACCAGGAAGAAGAAACCAATACTGAAATAGACGTTGAGCATAAATAATGTTTCCAGAAACATGAGTGTTTCCTTGTATTTTGAGTAGTTTGCTTGTGGTTGTATCAGCTAGCCCTTTTTATACGTCCAAATACTAGAGCCTCTTGAGATAGCACAATCTTTGTCCTTGACACTGTGCAGCATGGAGAAATTAATCTTCTGTAACTTTACCTCCAGCTTCTCAAGTGTCTCTGTCGTACTGAAAATGTACTTATTCTTGTTTCAGATGACTCTTACAATGGAGGTTCCAAAGGGGAGGGTTGTATTCTGATTTACTTGCGTATCTCTCAGCATTTTACACCTAATTGCTGTAATTTTTCTTTGCTTGTTACTTTTCTCTCATGGGGTTTTTCAGAGTTTTAAAATCACAAACTGCTTTGAGACTTGGGATGTTTTTATCACTTGAAACCACCTCCAATTCTTACAAAGTTGGTTAGGTACAGCTTTTTAACAAGGCAAGATTGTTGGGAGCAGAGCTGGATAAATTACTTCAGCAGTCAATGTTAACCTGTACCCTCTAGAGAAACTGTTTAAGGCACGGAATGCATGTCATATTAATGACAGGTGCTAACTCACTAAAATGTGTGTGTACTCTGCATAATACTGTGAAGTTTCCTGCTTCAGCCACTGAAAAGGTCCATGTTTACTGTCTAATGATAGAGTAGTGGCTTAAAAAATATAAGGGACTGTTTTAACCACCACGGAAGCTGGTTGTTGGCAAGCACTGACCTTTTAATGGCAACTGTTTTAAGACATCTTTCTGGCAATTCCACAGTCATAGGGAGCAGTCTTGAAAAGCACTTCAGAAATACTCATGGTAGATGCAAGTTTTTTAAAAATCTCTTTTTATTCCTTTGTCTACTAGAATCCTAATCTCCAATTATCTGACCGTCTTAAAATCACAGTCTGTTTTCATTACAGCTTGGATCTCATTGTTGTGTTACATAGGTTAGGGTGTCCTGGGTTTACGCTGCCGGAATATAAGCCAACGCCAGTAGAAGGAGGAGCTTCAAAATCTCTCTTTTTTCCAGACGAAGCCATCAATAAACATCCTAGATTTAGGTAAGAGTATTTGGGGAGTGTAAATGAGAAACTGAATATTTTTCTGTGCCTCAATATCATAGGCATACCTGCCACTTCTTTACCTTACTAAAATAGAGAGCTATGTGGCTAGATGCTGCAGATATCACAAGGACTTGGACAGAGATGATTGTGATGACATGTATTTTCTGTCAGTGACTTAAGAAAGTAAACTGTTAAGTTTAAGTAACTCTATATAGTAGTTCACGCCATTGTGGGGCAAAAGGTGTTGATTATGCTGCTGCAAAATTATTTCCAGTTTGAAATGGCATGGCTAACTGCTTCCATCACAGTTAATCCAGCTCTCGCTCAGGTACGTCACTGCAATACTTCGGTGTACTCAGTAACTTGCCCCAGTTACTCTGAAATGGAGCATAGTGTCAAACTACTTGTATAGTCTGAGAGGGGTTTTCATTGTAAGGTAAGTCTTTGGAGAATAAAAATCATTCTGTTTAAAAACTCAGCACACCTCTTCACTTGCCCTTGTATTCTTCAGGTCAGTAGCCTTTTACTTCTGCCTTTTCTATCAGCATAGCACTGTGAAGTCTGTCAAATGAAGACTGACTTTACTGAAGAAAACTTCAGTGTTTTATCTGTTACAGTCTATCTTAAACTAGGGAAAAGAAGTGTCCTGAAGAAAAATGCTCAAAAGAAATAGAAAGTTGGCGTTCTGAAACCCTGAGAATTGCTGAGAAACTAATGGGAAAAATATTTGCATAAAGAGAAACTTTCAGGTATTTCAGAAAACTTTTTTTTGTTGTAGTACACTGACCAGAAACATTCGGCACCGAAGAGGAGAGAAGGTTGTGATAAATGTACCAAGTGAGTAAATTCAATCTGGTTTTGTTGTTTGTTTTTTTTTCTCTTTTTCAAAATAGTTGTTCAATCTAATGCTCTGGGTTACTGAGTACCTGCGTTTTCCACACAGTATTTAAAGATAAGAACACGCCATCACCATTTATCGAAACATTTCCTAATGATGATGGAGAAGCAGCAAAGGCGGCTAAGCCAGACTATATATACATGGATGCTATGGGTTTTGGAATGGGAAACTGTTGTCTTCAGGTAAAATGCGTCTGCTTTCAAGATGTTACTGAATGTTGTCTTCCCTAAACGCTTCTCTTTTTAAGACTTGCCTTATGTCTAGTTTCTCTAGCTTAATTCAACTGATGCATTTGCAGAGTGGCAACAGGGGGAATAAAGCAAAAAATTTAATCTCATACCCGCTAATCTAGTCTTAAAATCCAGGTGTATTGGGTTTGTGTGGCAAGGTTTT